ACTTTTTTTTTTTGCTTGTCGGGAAATTTTTGGTAGTGCTTCCTAAACTGTCAACTGAAAAATGTATGGCTGTGCCCCCCCCCCCAACTGAAATTGCTTCCTACGGGCCTGGATTGCGATCTTTTAAATCCCCCTTTCCACTTTTGAATTTTATTATCCACCTGAATACCGTATTGTGAGAAGACTAGCCTTTCCAGATAACCATAGCTTCATTTGGTTTCTTCAGCGATTTTGCAAAGAACCGCATTTTTCACCCAAGCCCTCATTTTTACCTTCTTGGCAGAGACCTTTATAAAACAGTTTATGGCCAAGGTTAAAGTCTTCCAAAGTAGGTCAAACTCCAAGGTCAAGGTCAAAGGGCAAAAAGTTGTTGGCATCCAAAGGAAGATCTTGTCAAAAGGATTACATATGTAAAGTATGAAAGCCCTAACACCAACCGTTCAAATGTTATGACCAAGGTTATAGTTTTTTCAAATGAAGGTCAAACTCCTAGGTCAAGGTCAAAAGGTCAAAGTTTTTGGTATCCAAAAGAAGGACTTGTCACAAAGATTACACATGTGAAGTATGAAAGCCCTTACACCAACCGTTCAAAAGTTATGGACAAGGTTAACATTTTCCAAAAGTAGGTCAAACTCCTAGGTCAAGGTCAAAGGGTCAAAGTTGTTGGTATCCAAAAGAAGGACTTGACACAAGGATTACACATGTGAAGTATGAAAGCCCTAGCACCAACTGTTCAAAAGTTATGACTAAGGTTAAAGTTGGGTAAAACTTTGTAAAACTGGGTCAAACTCCAAGGTCAAATATGATGGTACCCAAAGAAAGGTCTTGTCATAAGGAATACACATGTGAACTATGAAAGCCATAGCTCCAACCAATCAAAAGTTATGGGCAATGTTAAAGTTTCTGCGGACAAACAGATAAACAGACAAACAGACAGACAGATGGACAGGGCAAAAACTATATACCCCCGAATCTTTGATACGGGGGCATAATAAAATTAACTGCTTCAACATTTATTATTATAAATCGTATGTTGTATTACTTATTGAACGACCTTCGTATTGAAAGGATCCTGTAGCTCCTCATTCACAACATCTATGTAGTTGTTCGAGACCAACTAACAAACTGTTGAAATTCGATGGCACTAATTGTAATCTTTCAACAAACTGGTGAAATTTGGGAACAAATTGTGCTCCTTTATTAGCCGACTTGTTTGTATATTCCTATGAAGCAGAATAGTTACTTCAATTCATATGTTGACTCGATTTATCCCAGTGAACTCAAAATTAAAGACACCAAAGAGTCTGCCACATGTTTCATATTTCGATGTTTTAATGACTATAGACGACAAGGGCCAACTAACAACTCAATTGTTTGACAAACGAGATGGTTTTAGCTTTTCCATCATCAACATTCCTTGTTTCTGCATATGGTGTTTATGTCTCCTAACTTATTCGATAATCAAGAACTCTGAGTATGATCAATTTTTAAACCAAGGCAGGCTATTGACAGATAAGATGATGTTGCAGGAATTTCTACAACTTTGTTAAAAGTCAGCATTTCGTAAATTCTATGGTTGTTATAATGACCTTGTTAGCAATCATAATCTATCATTGGGTCGTATTTTGACTGACATATTTCATACCAATTGTTAAGCCTTTGTTTTTATACTATATTTGATTATGGAATATTCCATCTACCTGATCAATACATAGGGCTCACAATGGGTGTGATCATTGACAGGGAATACTTACTTTTAGTTTTTCACTTTATTTACATATATTGCTTGAAAAAGATTCATTTACGTTTTGAATTAAATATATATTAAATTTGACGTCCTTACTTATCTATTATACTAAGTCGGATTAGATTTCGTATCTAATATATAATTCTGTTAAAAATTATTCTTAATGTTTGAAATCCAATATTACACGGTCACAAGTGGCAATAGTGGTTCAATGTAAATGCATGAATATTGTTCATCACTCGAGACTGCAATGTTTTCAGTTTACCTTTTGTTGTTATTCTTTTGTTTTGAAAAATATTAACTCGCTTTGACATTGTCGCAGACCTGGCACGATAACCGAACGTCTATCTACTTGAAATTGAAACTCTGTTAGAGAAGTGGAAACAATTTGGACATTTTTAATTTTTTTCCCCACGATGTATCAGCTAATGTCAGCAAGGAAAGACTGTAGACTTTTTATGATATTAAAATACTTTATTATTACTTCTTTTCAATTTAATTGAGAATCTTGGAGAATTGATTTCATCAGATTTTTTTTCGTGTGTCCTAATCTATAAACATCTCTCTCTCTCTCTCTCTAGGAAGGTACTACGCCCTGCATGCATGTCTAAATCCGCGTTTTTCGGTTCTACATTGAATCTAATTTAAAAACACTCTTTACTAGTTTTCTAGTAATCGTCTTCTAACTCATCAATAATTTCTCTGTCTCTTAAAGTGTATTTCATCTCACATTTTTACAGCGGAAATACTATTTCATGATTTTCTTTGTCCAAGTTACTTATAGTAGGTAGTGTTTATAACCTATTCGATTTTTTAAAAGTATCCCCAAAAATATAATTTTTCATGGAGATATATGCCATGTTGAGAGTGATTTTGGAATCAGTGATCAATCAGGCGCGTAGCTGCCTATACGCAAATACGCAAGTGCGTACACATCATTTTCAGAAAAAAAAAAGAGAAAAAAAGATAAGAAAAATGAGAGAATTATTCGGAGAAAAAAAATCTCAGTACCATCCAACAAATATCCGTGTTTCAAATTATTCTGTGTCATACAGTGTCGATCTAAATTTTAAATTATTATGGCTGTATGATAAAATTTGAAATCTTTTATTTAATAACTCTCAAATCCAAATAAATCATTCATTATTTTGTCAAATTTAATTTAATTTTTTGAATTAAATTTCAGCCACATCGTTGAATGCTATGATCTACTAGTATGATTTACAATACGATATTTTTTTTGTTCACAATTAAAATTTCGTATACGTGTTTTTAAACGTTAAGAATGATTATATGATACCAATTAATATATCGGTTAAATTTTTAGCCTCAATTATATGTACAATAAGTTTCCATGGAATATTAATTTTCGGTAAAGCAATAAATATTACTATGTCTTTTATTTCCTAAACAAAAACTAAATGGCATAATTTTTATATTTCAAGAAAATGAATGAAATATTTGGTAAAACTCCGGAGCTTCTGGGTCCTCACCAGCAGTCACGTAGTATCAGGGGAGCTACTTATTCCCAAAACTTAACCTTTTACTATTGAAAATGTACATTGAAAGGGTGGACCCCCACTGTTTGTTGCTCCATTGTTAAATCATGGTAATTTGGTAATGTATTAATAAAAATTTGGTTTGTGAAAGATGGACACCCCCTCCCCCCTTCAACAAACACACATACACAAGAAATAGGACTTCGAATTTTGACAATCTTCCTTTTTCGTCCTTGCTTGACAAAATTTTTAAAGTTGTTTTCCTGGCTGGCAAAAGCTATATTACGTGCCTGACCAGAACCCTTAAACACTTCGGGGGGGGGGGGGGGCTCAAGACCTCCCGGCCCCCATCCAACCCCCTGCCGTTCTCTGCGTACACATCATTTCTATTCTGGCTACGCGCCTGTCAATAAATCTGTTTTCACCCAGTCCCCCCCCCCCCCCCCCCCAATATGTAAAATTCACATACCAGTATTACACAGCAACAGATTATTTCTTTAATGCATAATATGAATAGCAGAATGTTTTAACGTCGAGATTCAACATTTAATAGTTTTAACTTTGTGTATAAGATAGTTAAAGGCCCTTTCATAATTGGCGCACGAGCACTTTACAACACTTTGCGATCGGAATGTTTTAGCTTCGCACGAGCTCTCGCATACGTTGCACGATGTCTCGCATTAGTTGCATGCGTTTTAGTGGTCGCATCAAGTCTCCTCAAAATAGTAGACATGCACACTATTCAGACGCGACCGAATGCGATCAAAATTATCGCAATGCAGCGCACGAACATTAGTACGAACGTCTTACAACGTTTTATCTTCTCGCAAGAGTGATGCACGATTTTTAAAGGTCGTAAGATGAATCGCAGCTGTCTATGCTTGTGTTTTGCGAATATGAGACTGTTGCTCAACGTCTCTCGTGTAATCTTGCAACGTTTTACTATCATTGCATAATTTATCAGCCTCAATTTGTCATGCTTTGGCACTAGTATATATAAATTGTATGAGCATCTTCTCTCACATTCAACTATACATGTATCAACTGAAGGGCTTCGGAAACGGCCGGTTCATATACCCCCTCTGACTCGCACGAGCATTCGTACCATGGAACGCATGAGCGCGCGAGCGCCGAACGTCCAATCGCATTGGCGCACGTTCAATCGTCCAATTACCTGATCACTCGCGCGATCCGATCGCATTATCTTTCAACACTCGCTTTCAATGTACAACAGTCGCATATAGACGCAAGATATATCGCAAGATTTAATGCACAACGGTCGGTTTAGATGGTGCAAATTTCGTACGAATACTTTTTCATATGCGATTATTTTGGCAACAGTTTACGATCCAAATCAAAAATTTTCTGTCGCACGAATATTTTGTCGCTTATGATCGTGCGCCAATTTTGAAAGGGCCTTAAGACATACTTAAGTCACCTCTACCGGCCGCCTAAGTTTTGCTAAGATTGTCAAATCTTAGCATGCTTCTAGGTACGGTCTTAAGTCTAAGACTGTACTTAAGTCCTACTTAAGCATGGTCTTATACTTAAGTACCCTTTATGTTACGACCCCCAGATCCTACCTCTGGAATTTCCAGGGGTCAGTGTTTTATGCCCTGTTCACAGACTTGTATTGCTTGTATTTTTTTTTAAGATTAATCAGTTTGTTATCTTCACCTTTTCGCAAAATCAGTGAACAATAAATAAGGACATTGTAGGAGCAGAAAAATTACCTGATTTTAGTCTAATCACATGATCATGTGCCATCAGCAATTAATATATATTCAAAGAAAAATTATTTCATTTCTTCTTGAATTGAAATCTAGTATACTAACAAGGGTAGTTCATGAATTTATAAATCATTGAAGTTCAGACTGATTTACATTTTTATATCTTTCAGTTGATATTAATCATCAAACTTCTTCAATTTTGACACATTTTTGTCAATGTAGAACTTCTTTCCTTCTGATGGTGGTTTCTCAAACCCCAGACCCAACCCTCGGTTCTTGTTGAAGGTCATGGCTTTTCCATAATGGTCTTCCATGCTCTTCATATAAACACCTTCCTGCTTCTGGGTCATGGCCACATTACCATATTTCCCCTCTAAGGCAGACAAAGGAGATTTCTCACTTTTGGCTGCTTTAAATCCTCCCAGCAGTCTTAAGAACTTATTCTGTCTCTGCTCATCCCCCAGTGAGGCTGTAGTCCACTGACCAGAGTAAGCTGTTTCAGAGTTTTGGAGACCTGCCCTTTCTCCATTCATAACTTTAACATCATTGTCTTTAGATTTTTTAGTAACTGGTTCTTCATCAGTATCCAATTTTTCCCTCTTATTTTTCTTTCTTTTCTTGATTTTGGGGCTCTCTGATTTATCTCTAGCAAGCCTTTCTGCCTCAATATAGCCAGTTGCCTCTTTAACATTATCATCCTCTTTGTGCTCAACATCCTTGTTGTGTTTCTTTTTCTTTTTTCTTTTCTCATGAATTACACTGAGGTCGACAATTTCCTTCTCCTGCACAGACTGTTCAAGTTTTTCCTTGCTTCTTTTTTTACTTCTCTTACAACTCAGGTCAATATCTGTCTCCCCATTTGTCTCTGATAGATCAGTTTTACTGTGGTCCATTTTTGATTTCTTTTTCTTCTTTGATTTTTTGGTTAAAACATCCTCTGAGTCGGTATTATTTGCTTCCTCTTTTTTCTTGTCATCTGTCTGTGTTTCACTCAATTTCTTTCTTTTCTTCTTTAATGAAACACACTCTTTTTCTTCATATGCATTTGATTCAGATACTAAACTCTTCGATCCATCTTTCTCCATTTTTCTCTTCTTTTTCTTTTTCCATGACCTCTTTGTGTGAATTTCCAAACCAGAATCTACATTTGCCTTCTTATCTAGATCTGTTTGTTTTATTGTATCTTTTTCCTTTTTGTTGTCATCTGATACTGAATTTAAATCAATACTTGTCATCTCTTCCACCTGTTTCTTCTTCTTTTTCCCATGCTTCTTCCTTTTTTTCTGGCTACCATGTGATTCCTCTCCTGTCATTTCTTCTGTCCCTTTGTTATCCTCACATTTCTTCTCTTGTTGGGAATCTAATGTTACAAAAATTAAATCATTACTCTGCAGCAATAATTACAATTTACATTACATATTGAGAGACTTCTGCATATCACATACATTTTGCATGACTTCATTTCCAAGTCAATATTAGAATTTCATTTATTCATAATATTTATTGTTCATGTATTCTCTGTATGGTAATTCATTAATTTTCATGACTTTACAATCTTGTGGAAAGGCATTAAATAAAGTTCTAAGTAATAAGAATTTATTATTTAATGATGTATGCCATATAATTCATTGAAATCATTTTTTACATCAGATTTACAATAAAATTTTGGAGAGCATAGACGTTATAATCAGGTCCAACACAATCTCTTGATTAAGCTATATAGCTTGAATTGGTGCAGTGATTGCATGAATTCAACTTTGAACTCTTTAGAAAACAATGCATGTAAAAAGCGCTCATCAAATTGCATCTTCTTGAGAGACTTTGTACTCAAAGTTCTAAAAGTTTTGGAGCTATATAACGCAATTGATTTGTGACCACACTGTTACTTCTTGAATGAAATACTAGTATATAAAGGAGGTCAATTCTGGTCAGCAAAATAATTGTTGGTAATAATTTAATTGAGCACAATGTGAAGCAATCATACTTATATATCCAGGCCTCAAAGCACACAAGGTGTGCAGTTATCCAACAATGGAAATTAATCTTTTGCTTAAAAGTAACCAAAAGCTGCAATGTTGAAACTATCTTTGACTCCGGTAAATGCTTTTTTGATAGTCTATAGTTCATACATGAATAGTCAATACTTGCAACTTTTGTCGATCTGTTTAATTTCTTACAAAAACATTTTTATGAGAAACGGCATATTTAGGGCTTTACCAAGCTATTGTGAATAGCACAATAAAGCTATATAGCTAATTCAAGCTATATAGCTAAATCAAGACAAAGTGCTGGACCGGATAATTATTATAAAGCTGTTATATTTATATCATTTGGCTTTTATATCAAAAGGATATCATAATTTAACTAACTAGAATGGTGAGTATCTTTGAACTAAAGTTATCCTACTTTTATGTTTCTTAGCTCTGTCCTTTTCCTTCTTGCGCTTCTTCCTTACAATAAAAGAAAAAAAAATTATAATAAAAAATAGTAAAGGATGACACTACAAATACACAACCTGTATACATCGGTAAGCAGCTGCCAGCGGATAGAACAATGTGATATGTAGTGACAAATTACAAATACCTGCAGAGGCTGGAGTGTTCTGTCCGTGTTTTATCCATTTAGGGCCTAACCCAATTTTTTGCAGGACAACTTCCCAACTGGTAAAACAAATTTACATCTAGCAATCATAAGTGCTTGAGGACAGGACCCCCCCCCCCCCTCAATATAGACCCCCGGGCCTTTTCGACTTTTTTTTCATAAACTATCTTTTAGTAACATATTTGTGATATAATCCATACAATCAGCCCGAAAAATTACGAAAAACAAACATTTTATAAAAATTCGTCACTCTATATTTTTTATTATATATAGAGTGACGAATTTTTATAAAATGTTTGTTTTTCGTAATTTTTCGGGCTGATTGTATGGATTATATCACAAATATGTTACTAAAAGATAGTTTATGAAAAAAAAAGTCGAAAAGGCCCGGGGGTCTATATTGAGGGGGGGGGGGGGGGTTTCCTGTCCTCAAGCACCTATGATTCTGGTGGAAACTTAAAAAACAAGTAAATGGATATTATTTACAATTCGAATTTCCTCTAGAGCTCCCACACTTGCACAGCAAATTGAATCCTGAACCCGATGTATTTTCTTATAATAAAATTCCGATCCCGATCGTACTTGAACTGATTTAATTGCAAACTTCCGTAGAAGGGGGAATATCGCGCTAAATTTTGAGTAATTTATGCATGTTTACAGAATCTGATACCATTTTATTTGGATGCCTCAGACCTCCTATGCTTTATGCACACATTGCTCTGTTATGGGAAAGTCAATGGTTTTCAATTGCAAAGTCTTTCCTTTTATCACTGGCACTTGCAGCTGTCCAGGTTCTTGTTGTTCAAGTTGATCGTCATATCAATTAAGTTTAAATACTCTTACATGGGGGGGGGGGGTAAGATTAACATTTTTGAGAATAAAACTATGTTTTTTGTACCGTAAAGACTTTGGAAATGAAATCATTGATAAAGCCATTACAGAAATCTATTTGGCATGCAAACAATTTCCAGAAGTACAAATTATAGATGAATTTTTGCCCACAGAAAGCATGTATTATGATAAAATTCATCTGAACATGAAGGTGGGTTTACCAGCTATAGTTAAACACTTAAAGGAAGCCCTTGGCATAAAGACAGTATCCCAAGCTCTATCGGCAACTCTGAAATCTCTAACAAAGGGACAAATGGAAAGAATTTCTCCTGCTGTTCCCCATTTCGCACCAGTCGGTCATCAGGCCACACCGCCCCCTTGGATCGGCCCATAATCAGTGCCCCCACCTCCAGATTCCTTTTATCTATGGGGTATTAACTTTGTGACTATAACATTAGATATATGGAATCTCCATCAGCTCTTTTTGATAAAATTATATTTGTATTATGTGTAGAAAGCAGTTACATGTAGGGTATAATGAACATTTTTTGAAATTAGGTATGTGGAATGTTGAAGGCCTCACAAGTGAGAAGACCTCTGACCCACAATTTCAAAATATTTTTTCCAATTTTAGCATTATCAGTTTTGTAGAAACCTGGTTGGGTGATATTGATGTTAACAAAGATATTACACTGAATAATTTTCAACTGGTTCACTCTAGCAGTAGGAAAAAACAAAAAAAGGCTAGGCGACATTCAGGAGGAATATGTATTTTTGCAAAGAATTGTATTATAAAAGGAATAATTACACTGAAAAACAGTCATCCAGATATATTATGGATTAAACTTGACCGTAACTATTTTAAACTAAATAGAGATATTTATTTAGCTGCAGTCTACATTTCACCAGAATACTCAGGTGGAAATAACACCGATCTAGAATCAATATATTCATTTTTGCTTAATGACATTGAGAAATATAGTAGATTAGGAAATATAATTATTCAAGGTGACTTCAATGCATACACTAACACCCAACCAGACTTTATTTTGTTTGACATTGATTCTCATCGAGTTAATGATGATGACTTAAATTATCGATATGATAATACATTGTCAAGAAATAATCTTGACCACAAACACACTAACAATAGTGGCAAACTTCTTCTCAACATATGTAAAGAATCTGGATTAAGAATCCTAAATGGTAGAGCGACTGGTGATCTTACTGGTAAACACACCTGCTTCACATATAATGGGAGCAGTCTTGTTGACTATACACTTTCCTCCCAAGACTTGATGAAGTCTGTTGGATATTTTGAAATCCATGAATTTAATTTATTTTCAAACCACTGTCCAATCAGCTGTTCTTTGTTTGTCAATGATTTTTCTGAACAAGAAATTAGCAATGTATGTAAATTAGACCCTTTACCAGGAAAATTTATTTGGACTAAAGAATCTGTTGAAGTGTATTCTAAAAATATCAAGAGTCCAACATTCAGAGCAAGATTTTCTGAATTTATTGATACTGATTATGAAAATAGTGACACAATTGTGAACTCATTTAACACTATATTGCAAGATTGTGCAAAACTTTCAACAAAATATGTGGCAAAAATACCAAAATCCAAATTCCGTAGATGCAACAAAAAACCATGGTTTACTGAGTCATGTACTGATCTTCGAAACACAGTGAAACAATATGAAAAGTTAGTAAATCAATATCCTTTTAATGGTCAATAGAGAAAACTCTTTTACACATACAGGTCTAAATACAGAAGGCTATGCAAACATGAAGAAAAATCATACAAACAAAAATTTGTCATGAAATTAACAACAATCTTGATACCAATCCCAAAACATTTTGGAAAATGTTGCACAAACTAGATAAAATGCAGAATATGCATAACAACTCTCCTGATCTTCCCTGTGATATATTTTATCAGTATTTCAAAACACTGAATACTGCGAATAGCAATCAGAATGATTTCCACAAATTCATTGCAGAACAGTTTAATGTTTTAAAACAGAAACTAGAGAATGATGTTAGTCCCCCTATTACAACTCAAGAAATAATGAATGCCATAAAAATCTAAAACAAGGTAAAAGTACATCCATGGATCTTATTTCAAATGAAATGTTAAAAAAATGGAGGCAGTGTATTACTGAAGCCACTACAAAAGCTGTTCAACTTTATTTTGAACTCAGGGCAATTTCCTACTTTATGGAATGAAAGTATTCTGGTACTCTTACATAAATCTGGTAACAAACTTGATCCTTGTAATTACAGAGGTATATCCATTACATCAAACCTAGGTAAACTTTTTAATCGGATTATTCATTTCAGATTGCTAGATTTTATCAAGGATGCATCACTAATTAGTGAAAATCAAATTGGTTTCAAAGAAAAAAGCAGAACATCAGATCATATTTTTACAATTAAGACTATAACAGATTATTATAAAAACAAAAAGCAAAAGGTTTATGCAGCTTTTATCGATCTCCGTAAAGCATTTGACACTATATGGAGGGTTGGACTTTATTATTAACTTTTGAAATCCAATATACACACCAATATGTTCAATATTATATTTTCTATGTATGAGAATACAAAAACCAAGATAAAGTTTGCTAATGGTCTCAGTAAATCATTCACATCTGAATGTGGTGTTAAGCAAGGTGATATCTTAAGCCCATCTCTCTTCAACATTTTTATTAATGGTATTGTTGATGACCTTAAAACAGGCAATTGTGATCCTGTTCAAATTGGTGAAATCTCTGTAAATTGTCTATTATATGCTGATGATATTGTTTTATTATCTGAAAGTAAAACTGGGTTACAGAATTGTTTGAACATTCTTGAAACATATTGTTCTAATTGGAAACTACTGGTCAATGTTGAGAAGTCTAAAGTCCTTATTTTTTAACTCAAATGGTAAATTTTGCATCAATGAGTTTACATATAATGGAAGTGTTCTTCAAACAGTATCAAAATTTTGTTATCTTGGATTAACCTTGAAATGTAATGGAAATCTGAACTTAGCTATGTCAGTACTTATGGAAAAGGCCAGAAAAGCCTATTTTAAGATTAAGAAAACCATTGGTTTGGATAATCCATGTAAACTTTTGGAAAAACTCTTTGACTCAATTATAACACCAGTTCTTCTTTATTGCTGTGAGATCTGGGGTATTTATAATAACATTGGTGAAAATTCTATAATTGAAAAATTTCACATGAAGTTTATTAAGGAAATTTTAGGAGTACATTGTAAAACTACTAATGCTCCCTGCAGAGCAGATTTAGGTAGACATCCCCTGTAGACAAGAATACATTTTTCAAGTATAAAATTTTGGAACCATCTTATTACTTCCAAGAATACTTGAGGATTTAAAATCTATAAAGCAACAGTCAAAACAAACTCATGGACTAAAAATATTTTTTCAATTTTCAATAAGTTAGGATTTTCATTCATTACCAAAAAAGAAAATTCAATAAAATCACTTCTGAGAAACATTGAAACAAAGAATATCAGATCATTGCTTACAAGAGGAATATGCAAAGATTCATAATTCATCAAAACTAAAATTTTATCAAGTTGTTTTTAATAATTTCAAACGCTGTGGATACACTGATATATTAAAAAAGAAAACAGAGAGATCAATTATTAGCAGGTTGAGACTTAGTGCACATAACCTTGCCATAGAAAAAGGGAGACATTTGTCTATACCCACAGATAAAAGATTTTGTAATATTTGCAACACAGGGGAGATTGAAGATGAATTTCATTTTCTATTCAGCTGCCATAAATACAATAAACATAGGTTAACTTTTGAAAGGAACTTGATGAATTATTTCAAGGAAAAATATCAAATATGTCTTATACTCAAAAAGTTAAGCTTTGCTTTAATAGCCATTGTCCAGAAATACTGAAAATAACACACTCACTTATTAAAAAATGTCTTGTAGCTAGAAATGATTGCATTACATAATTATTATACAAATGATGTATGATTTATAATTATGTATAGCCTCACATTCTATACTAAAATATTGTATATTTATGTATGAACAATTGATGATTCTTATAATGTGTTGTGCCTTTGCCAATTATTGTAATTGTGTTTGTGCCAATAAATATTTGTATTTATTTGTATTTGTATTTGTATAAATATGTAGTGTGATTCATGTTTTTGTAGCTTAGGGAGGTAAGGCATGGACATCTTTTTGCGCTATGTTATAT